ATGGACATCCCGATCACGCTGGCGGCGTTCATGATTTTCCGGATGCGGTACACTATCAAGGATGGTACATACATCACCATACCACATTCAATCTCAGCAGCCTCTTTGAAGTAAGTTGAGTCAAGGAAGTTCCGAATAGAGGTTGACTAGGGTTTGGACGGAGCGCTCAGAGGCGGATCTTAACCGATCGCCATTGGGGGATACCGTGTGGGTGGGCTACCCATAATCTATCCTCTCAAGCTCCGCTCACACCCTTATAAGGATCTCTACTTATGGCTGTAACTAACAAGCGAAATTTGTGGAGTGGGTTGAGAATTTAATAGAAAATCAACTGACCAATATGCACTGTGTGATGTTCGTAACTTTCGCTTGGTCGTTTACTTCCCTTTTACTTCTATTTTTCTTGTGGATTTGCTAGATATCAGATCCAGAATTTTATTGAACGGATGAAAATTTTAGGGAGATCGACATCCTCTCACGGAAAACGTTCATCTGATGAGGTCACTTGGGCATTCATCCGACGACGTCGCTGTTGTCGTGAACGATGAGAAGACAATGGGAAGAGTAATAGTAGCAGGTAATGCATAAGTTCAATCGAGAAAAGGTACTATTATAAAAGCCAAAATTCTATAAATAATTAGAAGGATTGGCTAGGATGAAATCATCTCAAAGGCGGTGAGTCCAACTATTTGGAAGTTAAAGGAAACGAGCTGTGGCGTTTATCGGCGAAAGATGCACTACTGCGATCCTTTTTCGGTTTCAGACCCAAAATTGGCCTTGCCTTAGAACCACCCCGCCTTCAAGTGGAATTAATGGCTACTGCGATATGGTTATCATTGTCGTTCAACTTTCATAATGCATAATGGGGTGCATGCGTTACACATCTTATGGTCATCTTATCGGGTCCCTTGTCTGAGCAGAGTCAACCCTGCGTTGCGCAGTTCTCAACGGCCACGTTGCGCAGTTTCGCCCGATTAGACACGTTCTCTCGCGCGAACATTCACACTCGCATGCTCGAGCCGTCTGCGTCTCCGCCCATACAGCGTGCGTTGAGGATCTCTCAACGTGCCGTTGCGAACTGCGCAACGCAGGGTTGACTCTGGTCTGAGGTCAGATCACTTGCACGAGTGCACGGGAAGTTTTGACCGAATGTCTTCGAGAAAGTTTTGGCTCGGAAAAAAATACGATTTCATAACATATACGAGACCCTCTTTCGAATGAGTGCTCCCTTTATTGTAAAAGGTTGGGTTGTAACATTTAATAGTACTCGACATCTAAATAGAGAGCGAGATTTTAAGAGACTAATATATTTTTCTGCCAATAATCTCAAGTCAACATGTTTATGCAAGGATTGCGCATCGTGACCATTTTCTTCGACTGTGCGCGCTTGAGAGGTGATGGCGTGCAGACGATTCGCAGAAATTCAATTCCTTCCACACATTAGGCAAGGAGATGTGAAACATGCATGGGCTTGGGGTGCATTGCTGGGGTGCATCAAGGGTCTGCTCTTAGCCCGTTGCTCTTCCTCCTGAAACTGGACGTCCTGGTGAAGGGGCTCATGGAAGGCCACTAAAGGCCATCCTCTATGCTAACGACATTGCCCTGATAGCGGATAGCAGAGAAGAACTAAGTAAGGTGCGGATTGTCAGAAAATTCTGACAGAAGGTGGGCTACGGCTGAATGTCAAGAAGACCAAGTTCCTGAGCTCTGAAGAGGGTGCAGAGCCGATCATGGACGGGCATGGTGAAAGCATCGAAAGAGTAGAGGACTTCCGATACCTTGGGAGTGATCTGGCGGCCGACGGCAGTGTGGACCAGGCAGTAAAGGGGAGGATCAACGCGGCATGGATGAAATGGAGGGAGTCCACTGGAATCCTCTGCGACCGAAGGTGCTCCAGAGCGCTCAAAGGGAAGGTGTACCGAACAGTGGTAAGGCCTGCGATGCTCTACGGCAGCGAGTGCTGGCCCCTGAACAAGAATCACGAAAGGCAGCTTCACTCCGCCGAAATGAGGATGCTGAGATGGGCCTGCGGCTGGACGCGACTGGACAGGGTCAGAAACGAGGATGTCAGAGCGGTCATGCAGACTGCCCCTGTCCAGCTGAAGGTGAGGGAACAGCGACTGCGATGGTATGGGCATGTGCTAAGGAGGCCACAGGGCCACCCGATAAGGAAGCGATGGACTTCGAAGTGCAAGGCAAGCGACCGCGAGGAGCCCCAAAGAAGAGGTGGAAGGACGTGATCAAGAAGGACCTAAGTGAAATCACGGCCACAGCAGAAGATGCCCTGGACAGAGCGAAGTGGCGACGACTGACAAAGACAGCGGACCCTGCGACTGCGCGGGACTAACGCTAGGGAGAAGAAGAAGAAGGTAGCAGGACCCCTTATTGAAGGGGTAGTGGCACCGTCCCATTTTGAAAGTGCGCGACAACGGAGCTAATTCTTGGGTTTGATCGCTGCCTTTTCTAGTAACCGCAGTATATGAGGTGTTTGCACTCCCTCACGTACGAAGTGTTCTCTCGTCTTTTTCTTCCCCTCGCAGCTCTGTTTCTCTCCACTATACTACGGTCGACCTCTACATAAATTTGATCGCGACCTGCCTTCAAAGCAGGAATCGCGCGAATTATGGGTCTATGGATTCCTGAATACTATTTATTGTCTCTTCGCCTGAGAACAGCCACCTCTTGAATATCGCGTGCACTACCTCCGCGTTAGAGCGCATCTATTCATTCTTTCATAGAGTCAATGTTATCTAAAGTTCCGTATAACTCTAGATTTCGAATCTGGACAACGCTTACATTTAGCACCGATAGAGCTGATAACAGTCGAGCACGCTGGGCAAAAACCACAGAGAGCGATTTAGCAAATCACCATAAACTAACCCTGCCTAGGTGACACATTTATGAGACGTGAAGACCTCGACTACCCGATGATGTGGAAGCCGCTGAGTGCGAACGAGACGGAGCAAGCGCGATCGAGGCGAAACCTGATCTGTGAAGCAGCGTGGATTATTCCCGGCCATGGTGCACCGTTTCCGGTCACTCGACACATGCGTGTACAGTTTCATTGTTGATATGTATAGAAGTTGTGGTTCAGAAACACTTTTTATCGCTCATATTTTTATCGCTCTTTCATGAACTCGATGAGCATCACAATAGACATGATTTACTTGTTGATTGACGTTCAGCTGTGTATCAAAAATCAGCTGCTGAAAACACATTAAGTTTATACCATGGTGGAGCTCAATGGTATTCCTTCCCAGGAGAGACAAGCAGAAGAACAACCGAATCAGATAAGGAGGCCGGGAGATAGATGCTGGATGAGGCATTAGCCAAATGAGCACATCTCTCAATATACGTTAGAAGAAGATACGTTCACAGCCAGCTGGCACCTAAACATGAACAATAGAAAAGGAAAAAATGAAGAAAGACGTTCACAGACACCGATAAGATCAATGAAAGCACGAATAGGAGTGAACAAGCCAATGGTCATCCACTTAAAGACACATTTCACGACTATTTGAGCGCAGTTCTGGGTGAGATTATTGTGTTCGAAGATGTAGCAGAGTAAAGTGGGTCAATGAAAAAAACAGAGCTATAAACAGCAAAGTAGAGCTCTCTCCTTAATGGTGAGTGGAAATACCACGACAAACAGGGAGTCGACGCCTAGGCGAGAGATGGGGCAGGGGACATAAAGGACGTAGAAGACG